TACCCTGCAAGCCTGCCCCCCGGTCGTCAGCACACAGCCCCTCTCCCTCTCTGGGTCTACAGTTCTCCGCCGCTCCATCTCTCCACGTCATCGTCTCTGCCTCCATGTCTGGCATCACTGCTTCTCTGGGTAGGGTCCCGCACTCCGCTCTTCTCCCTTGATGGTCCCAGGGATCTCCGCTCCTGGACTGCAAAGTCAACCACTCCCCTCCTTTTGCTTCAAAACGTCTACCTTTACATTTCCAACCCTCACAGTCAGTCCCGATAGCAATTATTCACATAGATTGGAAACTACTCAGCAGAGATTTCTACCTTCCTCCACACCCTCTGGATCTAGGCTCCCTCTTGAAAGCTTGTAAGCCAGTCACTTCTTGCCTTTGTAGTCCCCCCTCCACCCCACCCCCACCGTTTTGAGTAGCCAAGGTCCAAGTTGCCCATCCTTGTCTACTCTTTATGGAGGGGGTGGGATTGATCCTCGCTGTAAAGATTTCGTCCCTCTTTTGAGCTACTACATCGTAAGTGTAGGTCAAGTTCATCAAATTGTATCAGATTACTCTTTTTTTCCCTCTTCTTCTGGTTGAGCTCTGATCATCCAGTCATTGAAGCCAGGTCAAAGGGGTATTTTCTGCGAGTGTGGGTGTTCTTATGCCTATGCCCTCTCTTCCTATTATCTGGACGCTTCCCTCTCCACTCTGGTCCTCTGTAGCTATGTCACTGACTCTGGGCCCAGGAGTCCCCAGGTCTTGCCACGTTGCTGGCCAACCAGGTCTCCACCCGGGTTCACGGGAGTCTACTGAATGTTGTAGGGCTTAGCACACAGCTTCATTGCTGATTTTCCCTCACATCCCCTTATCAGTGATGAACGTGGTCACCAGTCAGAGCGAGTGGCTGCTCGGGTATTCCCATTGAGTCTTTCTTAGAAGAGGGTTTTCCCTGAGGGGACCCGACCACTTGCCTTGATGTCTCTTGGGTGAGCAACTTGCTTGTTCTTGTAGTAATCAGTCGGACTGCCGTTATTCCTTTGTGTTTTTCCAGTATCTTCTGTTCTTCTAGCCACTCCAGGCTGGTCTGCTTGTCCTTTCAAGTGGAAATTTCCCATCTCAGAAAATTCTGGATGGGGTTCAGGATTCAACGTGCCCAATGAAGGAGGCTCCGCAGGTAGCCTCCTTCACTGGGCACGTTGTAGCCCCATTTTAGGTATTCCAGTCAGTTATAGACAGAAGACGGACTTACAAGCTTTCTATGGTGATGTTTCTGAATATTCCTTTCTCTCCCTCTCCAGTGTGTCTATTTTATAATGGTATGCCAGGGAAACCAAGATTCAAAAGGCAGCCGAGCATCTTAATATTATTTCCCCCCTTTTGCCCATTCCAACCATGTTTCAATCCCTGTATCCCAGAGTCCTGTTGTTCCAAGGTTGTGCATCCATCATTATTTACCGATGAGGCCTCTTTGGTCGATAGCTTTTTCAGATCATCTATATCTTGACTGATTTTCTGTCTGCATGTTTTGTCAATTACTATGAGGTGACTGTTGACAAGTCTTTAGGGGGTTTTCAGGACAGGAGTGGAATGATGTAATTTATCTTTGAAGTTGAATCCCTCAGGTGAATAGAAGCAGGGAGACCAGTAAGAAGGCAGTTGCAGTAACTCATGCAAGAGTTGCTGGGGTTTGGATCAGGGTTGCAGTAGTGTTCAGGGTAACAGGAGCTGTTGGGATTCCAGATAGATCTTGAATATAGAACCAGTAGGATTTGGATGAATTGGGAGTTAAGGTGACACCATCTTGGCCTGAGCAATGTGACGGGTGGAGCTGAGATGAAGAAGACAGTATAGAGCACGTTAGAATGGATGGAAACAGGAGACTTTTAAAACAATAGATTGTATACATTTTTTTATTGGAAAAAAAATGAGGTGGGGAGAAAATTGCGTACACTTGATGTACTTGATGTGGCTTACACGGCTAATGTACTTGAGTCGTTCTGTGACCTTCGGAACCTGAGTCTGCAGATGCACCAATGGTGTTCCTGTGGGGTATTTGTGTTGTGGGGGGTCTCAGTAGCTCTTTCTCTAGTTGACAGTGGTACCCTGGGCTGTGCAGCTGTGGCCCAGGGATGCTAACATTGTTCGATATCATTTCTACAAGCAATGGCAAGATGAGAATGTCAAAATCGAGTAGGATCTAGGAAGGAGTCAAAGGTGGGGAAACGGATTTCCTTCTCTGTTGAATGCAGAGTTTGGAGAGGATGATCACCGAAGTGCCTTTCTGCTTTAGTAAGATGCTGTGACGCTAACATTTTTTCCTATATAAGCAAGATGAGGAGTTTGAATTCACAGTATTTATTTGAACACATGGATTGTAACAAATGTTTAAAAGTGGTTCTTGAGCCAGGTTCCTGTAGGCTGCATTATCCTGTTACACCCAGTCCTATTCCTGTTATGTACGGCTGAACACTGAATAAAAGAGATCATATGTGCACATGTTCCGTGTGACATGTCTACTTCATCTACAAGTGGAGATGAGTTTGGAGTTTTGGAAAGTGTTTGGACTGGAAATGATTGGCAGATATCCATTCTATTTCAAGCCATTCACCTGGGTGTAGAGGCAGAAGCAGGTCAGGGACTGCACCTTTAACTCGGGCCCTGATGCCCAGGTGTGGTGCGAGTCCTGCCCTCCTTCCTGTTTAGACCCCTGAATACAACCATCAAGTTATTTCCGATTCTTCACAAGCCTCCCTATAGGACAGGGTCCTTACGAAAGCAGCCGCTATGTCTTTCTCCCTTGGAGTGGCTGGTAGTTTTAAACTGTTGATGGTTTGCTTCACAACCACGTGCTTAATCCGCTGTGCTACCAGGGCTCCTTTGTATATACCAGTCACCTATCTAATTTAACATATCCTCACTGTTCCCATCTGTAAAATGGCATCCCTCTTGGGATGTTGCCCAGGCACTAGCTTTCTGTCCAGCCACCCTTAGCCAGTTCTCACCTGGGAGGCAGAAGGATCCTGTTAAAATGTAAGACAAATGACTCAGGCCCCCATTGTGTTCAAACCCACCAGTACCTTCAACTGCACCCACACTCCTGGAATGCCGGTGACTCCTTACTGTCCCAGGGGTCTCTCCTGCCATGATGCACCCACCTACCTCTGAGCCCCACACCGGTTCCAGCAGGTCACGAGCTGGGGGGAGGGGAAGCAGGGCATACCAGCAGTGTTCCGGGTCAAGAGAATAGCATTTGACAAGCTTGGTGAGACAGACTGAGATAAAATTCAAGAGTGAAGATATTGGGGTTCCTCCTCTGTGCAAGCACTGTTCTAGAAGCTGTTGATAACTGCAGAGGTGTGGGGGTGGTAGGCCAGGAAAGCCTGGCTGGAGGGGGTGACAATTGAGAAGGAGCTGGAGGAAGGCTGGGAGTCGGGTGCACCCCAGGCAAATAAAGTTGCAGACAGAAGAAGGCCGTGCAAAGACCTCTGTGGCTGGATTGGAGTGAGCAAAGGGGAGAGAAAAGGGCGGGGCCACTTTGGGCTCTGGGAGCCTCTGTGAGGGATCTGGGAGCCCACTGGTGGGCTTGGAACAGGGGCGGTGGGACCTGAGACCAGCCTTGTCTTTGAAGATCACGCAGCAGCATCTGTGGTCCATTTGTGGGGTCAAGGCTGCAGGCTGATTCAGGGCTTTGCAGGGAAGGGGGACGGGTCAGACTGGAGTCCTGTCCCCAGTGAACTGACCCCACAATTTGGGGCTACATTTGGGAGCCCTAGCTGGAAACGGGGAGTCCTGGTGTGGCTCTGCGGGTTAATGCCCTGGACTGCAAGGTCGGTGGTACAAGATCCCTAGAGGCTCCTTGGAAACCGTAGACAGGGTCCCTGTGATTGGAAACCGACTGGACGGCACATAAGCTGGGAACCAGCTGTGTCCCTTCCCCTTGCTTCTAGCTACCAGTGGATTGTGTTGGACTGCAAGATGGGCTGTTCCACCCCACCAGCCAGTCTGCGGGAGACAAGAGAGGGTGTCAGATCCCCCTAAGATTCAGTCTCGGAAACCCTTAAGGACTAGTTCGACTTTGAGGGTCGCATAGGCGGACTTGACGGTGACCCCCTTTCCTTCAGCTCTTGCGGTGCAGTGGGGAGTTTGGCTGCTAACCAGAAGGCCTGCAGTTTGAACCCATATGCTGTTAAGGTGCCGTGGAGTCAGCAAAGCATTTCAGCCTTGGGAGCCCTGGGCCGTTTGATTCCAAACGGAGCCTACTGCAGTGGTTTGTTTATACTTTCATGCCTCCCTCAAACCTAAGCCAGTACCCCAGCACGTTTCCTCGCTGATCTTATAAAATGCCAGTAAGCCCCCAAATTGTTATTCAAGTTAGTTTCCTTCTTTCTGGTGTTCTACATTCTACAAATAAAACTAAAACGAAGCAAGTATTTCCAAAGTGTTGATAGTAGTGGCTTTATTTCCCATATCCACAAGTGCCTTGATTTACCTGGTGCTGGTATGGCGCTAACCTCAACCATGGGGGTTCAAACCCACCAGCTGCTCCTCGGAAACCCGATACAGGATGCCTGAGTGGGAACCCACTCCACGGCACTCAAGAGCAGCAACTTGCATACTTGGGGAGCTCTGCAGCTCTTGGATAAGCACGGGACTGCGAATGGTTCAGACGCCAGGGGCTTCCCGGAGGAAAGAGGAGGCCGTCTGCTTCCGCAAAGATGCTGAGGGCTGTGCAGTCCGGGCCCACCTGTCCGTGTGTGTGTGTGTGTGTGTGTGTGCGCGCGCGCGCACAGTTTCCCAGGAGCGGAGCTGTGTTTGTACCGCCACCTTGCGGTCGATCGCTTACCCTACAGCGCCACCGCCGGGCTCAGGGTCGCCGCTCAGAGCCCACTCGATGGCGCTCGGTCCCCTTCAAGGCCTGCGCCCCAAACCCTCCCTCCAACCGGAAGACAAGGACAGAAAACGTGGCAACAGCAACTGCACTTTATTTGGGGCAGGAAGGTGTGGGAGCGGGCGAGCCTTAGCCCCCCTTGCCATCGCGCGGCTTGCTGCAGAAGGGTTGCAGGTGGCGCAGGATGCGACGCACCACCTTGGCGATCTGATCCAAGCAGGCGATGATGGAGACCTGCAGCTGCACCGGGTCTACGGAGAGCAGGCGCCTGCAAGGAAGCCCAGACTCAGGATGGCCGCCAGGCCGCCTCCCCGCCCCCTCCGCCCCCGGCGCCCCGGGGCCCTTAGGGCACTGACGCGGTGAAGACGTTCTCCTCCACACTGAACAACTTCTGGACGCGGCCCAGGCGGCGGGCGTTCATCATCAGATAGTGCCGGGCGATCTCCGCCTCCAGGGCCAAGGGGAAGGGCACAGACACGGTGCTTCGGGCGCGCGTCAAGGAAGTCCGACGGTGGCTCGGCCC